GGGCGCGAGGGGCCCCTAGACGCCGGCTCCCGGCACGCCCCGCGCGGAGCCGCAGACTCGCTCGGCCGGAGTCCGCCGCTCCCAGTAGCAACTATAAATAAAAGTTCTTTTCTTCTGTCCTTCCTGCCGTCTTTCCTTAAGCTACGCTCATCCCCGCCCCCTGAAGGCAGTCTCGACTTTAGAGAAGCAGCATCTTTGCCGTTAGCCCGAGAACAAGACTCCCCGGGCACCTCGGCTTCCCCTCCCGCGCGCGGTTCTTACACGAGGGGCCGCAAAGGCGAGGCTGGACAGCGGCGGTGCGAGCGGGAGGCAGCACGCCACCGCCCTCACCCCGCCAGCCGCGGGGACCTCCGGTTTGCAGAGAAAATGATGCCTACGTGAATCACAGTTGGTGCTAAATTAACGGAGCGTGTGCATGGTTAAATGTGCCAAGTTATGTTTGGCTGAACCTGGTTTAGGTATGCTCTATTTTGTTCTTCTAAACTGCAGTCATTTTATGCTTAAGAAAATTAAAGAGAACAATGATAGAATTTCAGATTTTAAAACTTAAGCATACAAGCCAGTACTTGTTTAATGTTTTGTACTGAAAGGGGCACGTTGTGTATGTCATTCTCCAGTACAGTGACATGTACACACATGCACACCTACTGCACACATGCACGAGACTGCACTCAGACACTGTGTACCTGCTGCACTCGCACACATCATATGCGTGCACACACCAAACTCCACACAGGCATTTTGTACACACACACACTACATTGCACACACGCACACACTGCACTCACTCTGCACACACACACACCCCTTAGGGAACCTGCTTGTGGAGCTTCTCCAGTACAGAGAAATGCTGGCTTGGGTTTAAAGTAAGATACAATTAACATTTTTAAAGCATTTAATTTGAGTTTTAAAAGTGCCTGCAGAGACTTTAAAAAACATTTTTATTAACGAGTTTTTAAACAAGCGCTGTAATGGCTTTTTAAAAAGAATCTCTTGCTGAATTAAAACAGTGAGTCTGATTGCTTTGATTCTAAACTCCCGGTCTTTTAACAAGGAATTTTTTTTTTCTTTTGCTGTACGCGGGCCTCTCACTGTTGTGGCCTCTCCCGTTGCGGAGCACAAGCTCCAGACGCGCAGGCACAGCGGCCATGGCTCACGGGCCCAGCCGCTCTGCGGCATGTGGGATCCTCCCGGACCGGGGCACGAACCCGCGTCTCCTGCCTCGGCAGGCCAACTCTCAACCACTGTGCCACCAGGGAAGCCCTTGTTTTTGTTTTTAAGGAAGTATTTTTAATTACCCTCTTTCCATCCCTCTGAAACCCTGAAAGAAGTTACTCTTGAACTTTTAGAAGCCAGTTATAGAAGGGCCTTCCCTCCCTCACGGTGTGAGTGGCATGGCCGCTCCGCTGCGCCCCATGGCATCCCCACCAGTCCCTCTGCGGGTGTCCGGGTCACCTGTGGGCAGCCGGGAGGGAGGGACAGGCCACCCCCGCCGCGCCGGCCCAGGAGACCGCGGGGAGCGCGGGACTCGGGGTGGGTGGGGCGGCGCCTTGTCCCGCCCACGCGCTCCAACCCTGGCCTCTCCCGCAGGCCAGGCCGAGATGTGGCTGCTGCTGCTCGCGCTTCTGCTGCTGCCCCCGGCGCCCGGGTCCTCGGTGAGTTCGACCCTTCCCCTCCACCCCGCCCCGCCCCACCCCGGGACGACCCTGCTGGGGAGGCGGGGGCGAGGGCTTGGCCGCGGGCCGGAGCCCCCGACGGCTGGAGCACCCCCAGCAGTGGCGCCATCCCCAGGAGAGGGCCAATGTCGGCGACGGGGACGGTGGTGTGGGAGGAGGGAACCCTCGGCCCCAGCTCCTTCAAAGAGGGGTGGGACCTTGAAACTTCCCGCCTGGCTTTGGGGCACAGTTTGCAGAAATGGCAACGTCCCAGCGCCCTCCCCCTTCGGAAGGTGCCGGGGGTCGGGGTGGTGGGCACTGCTAATGCTGGGAACGTCCTGTCCGGGTGGTATATCACGGTGGAAGGAAGAGGAGGTCAGTGCTGGCACCAGCTAAGATGCAGGGCTAGGTGGCCCATCCCACCAGATGTCTGCCACCTGCCTGGGACCAAACTCAGCTGCTCCTCAATGGGGAGGTTTGGGGCGCCAGCCATTCCCCACTGCCTTTGGGGTTAGCATCTAGAGCAGGGCTGACCGATAGAACCTTCTGAGATGATGGAAATGTTCTGCATCTGTGCTGTCCAATAAGATAACCACTCAGTTCATGTGGTTACTGAGCACATGAAATGTGGCTCATGCAACTGAGGAACTGAATCTTATTTGATTTTGATTAATGTGAATTTAAATAGACTCGTGGTTAGTGGCTACCGCATTAGTGCACATTTAGAAAGTGGACACAGGAAGTCAACTGGTGATCACAGTAGTGGTTTCATTAGCCCGAAGGACAGGGCTCCCTGGAGAACATACCTGGGTTCTATGGAGGTACAGAGAATCTTCTAGACCACAGGACCGATCTTTGGGGAAGGGACTGTCTGCAGAGCAGGGCTTGGTCCTGGAGGCTGCTCCTGCCAAGTTTCTCCTGCGTTGACAGGATGGAGGGCACAGATTCCGTCCTGTCCCTGGAGAGCGCTCTGCAGGGGGAGACCCACAGCCCTACCCAGCCCTCTGAGGCCAGCAGGAGGACCCCTGAGAAAGGACCCAAACTGTTTGCTGCCTTGGGGAGGGCAGGGGGAATGATGCCTCAGTGGAAATGTGAGTGGAGGATGAGAAGGACTCCTCCGACCAGGGCCGAGAGGGGCAGGCAGGGATGGATGTCAGCAGTGGGCACTGCTCCAGAGCCACACGGATTTAGCATGGGCCACAGTCAGAGCAGAGAGTGGGCTAGAGCTCCCTTTCTCATGTCCTCTCCACCACCTTCTGGCTTCCCCGGGTCATCTTTGCCTCCCCATGGTCCTTGTTCCCTAAGTGCCACACTCTGAGGTCCTCGGCACAGGCGTTATCCTAGTGCCTGGCTGCGTGAAGCTCAGAGCTCAGGGTGGGGGTGGGGCATGGTGACAGTGTCAGGACACCAGGATGAAACTCAGAGCCACCTCCTAACAGCTGTGACCCTAAGCAAATCACCAGGTTTTAGATTCCTTTAATGGGGGGGCGGGGAGATAATAACACCCACCCACAGGTTGCATGCAGGTGAAGTGAGTCAAGGTATCCATAGCAACCTGGGTCCTCTTAGGTGCTCTCTCCCTTAGAGACACCTGGATAGCTGGGGCTGAAAACTCTCCATACCCCCTGCACTGTCTGGGGGAGGGTGTGGCTCAGGCTGGTTTTAGCTGGGTGCAGCCCCCTGCCCCATGGCCCAGGCCGGTTCTAGCTGAGGCCAGGACTTCCTCACCGGAACCCCAGAACTTCATGGGATCATTCTCAGTGCTGACAGGGGTCAGCCTGAGCAGAGTGAGTAGCTGATTACGGAGGGATAAAGCACCACGCCCCTTGCCGCCCCCAACCCCAGGCTGGTCGGGGGAGGCTTCACGAGGGGGATTTCCAGTCTCCTCGCCTCTGCCTCTGTTCCCACTCCCACCCTCACCCATGCATGTCGGGCAGCTGATCCCCTGGGAACAGTGCAGCAGGAAAGGGGGCTCCTGAGTTGCCCAGGTGGGAGTTGGAGGAGGAGCTGGTGGGGTGCTGAGAGCGTCAGGAGGCAGGTGAGGACAGTCCCAGGGTGAGGGTGGACTGGAGCAGCTCATTCTGGCTTCACACCATCATGCGGCTCATGGTTTGGGTAATTATAGAGAAACAAGATGTGCCTGTGATGCTGCTGGCTGACTGCTTTCTTTTTGTCAGAGAAACTAAAGTACAGGACAGGGCCTGGCTCTAGGATGCCTGCTTCACGGGTGCTGGGCTCGGGGGCAAGGGGATGTTTATAAGGCTTGGTACTTAAGGGGTCCTGTATTCAGGTGAGTCCCCCCCCACCCCATCCTGATGGCACAAGGTGGCTGGGTGGCAGGGGTAAGCCGGTAAGCCCAGCCCAGTCGCAGGGAAGGGTAGATTGGGGAGGCTCAGTCTCGTGCTTCAGGAGTGAGACTGACATCCAAACAGGACTTGGTCAGAGGTAATTAGTAGCCAGGCCGAGGCGGCAGGATGAGAAAGCAGCAGTTCTTGTGGGCCGCTTCCAGAATTCTTGTACTGTAGTGATGATTCTGGAGTGGAGGTGCTTGTGGTCCCTGGAAAGTCACCTTCCAACCCGACACTCAATATCTTCCCCTTTAAAACGGGAACGGATCCAAGTAAATTTTAGTTTAAATTTCATAGAGAGAACACTTTGATATTCTGGTTCGCTGGTTTTTGGAAGCTTGGCAATTTTGGCCCAGTTAGAACTGAAGGGTAAATGATTTGAGGAGTGAAAGCTCAGACCTTTGGTCTGGCTGGCCCTTCCTTCTTGGTTTTGTACGTGGTTCATTGCGTGTGTGAGTTGTTCTGATTCAGGGTTCTGGTTTTATTATAAAACAAGGAAAACCTGATGTTTAGCACCGAGGCGCTAGAACACTGAGTAATCTGCGCGTGCGCAAACCTCCATCCTCACCTGAGATCCCGTGACGCGGCGGCTGGCTCGCGACGGGAGGAAGAGTTTGCTTTTCCACGTTAGGACTTGAATTCTTCCTCTGGAAAATGGCAGGGATTTTTTTCACCTAGAGATTCTTATGTCGTGATGCCCTAAAATAAAGTCCCCTCCCAGCAAACAGGACATATTTCCAGTCCACCTTTTGCCTCCTAGCAAGAAATCAAGTCCAACACCTCTCCAGCTCCTTAGGCCTCGGCTAGTGTCGGCGTTGGTTCTCCAGTTGAGGTCGGTGGGACCCTGGTGAAAGAGCAGAGGCCTTGAGTGAAGATAACCTGCTATTGTGTCCACCTGTTCCTACGTGGCTCCCTCTCTCTCTGCCTCTCTTTTCTCCGTGCACTGGGGTCCGTCAGGTTGTTCTGAGGAGTGAATGAGAGAATATGTGTGTAGCATGTGGGCTTCTGATGCCAGCTGCAGGGTGTCAGATCTTTCGGGTGGGAAACTGTATCTATTAGGATTATTTTTCTGTTACAGAGTCCCAAATAACAGTCCTTCCACAAGAAAGACTTGATCCCTCTTTCAAATAAACACCCAGAGGTCAGAAGTCTAGGGATGTTCTGTCTCACGACATCCTCCAGGCTCCGGATTCTATCTTTGCTTCACTATGTGAAGCCTCCATTCCCAAATTACCTTATAGTTTAGAAGGCTGCTCCAACTCCAGCCATCACATCTGATTTGCAAATAGCAGGAAGGAATACAGGAGGAAGAAGAAAAAGGACAAATGCACATGCAAGCTATCTCTTAGGGACACCTTATTTTATTGCGTTTGCAGATATTGCATTTTTTACAGATTGAAGGTTTGTGGCAACTCTGTGTCGAGCAAGTCTGTCGGTGCCATTTTTCCAACAGCATTTGCTCAGTTTGTGTCTCTGTGTCACATTTTGGTAATTCTCATAATATTTCAAATTTTTCATCATTATTTGTTAGTTATCTATGATCAGTGATCTTTGTTACTATTGCAAAAAGATTACGACTTTCTGAAAGTTCAGATGATGGTTAGCATTTTTTAGCAATAAAGTACTTTTTAAAAATAAATGATTTTATTTTATTTTTTTTGGCTGTGTTGGGTCTTTGTTGCTGCGTGTGGGCTTTCTCTAGATGCGGCGAGCGGGGGCTACTCTTCATGGCGGTGCGCAGGCTTCTCATTGCGGTGGCTTCTCTTGTTGCGGAGCATGGGCTCTAGGGGCACGGGCTTCATTTGTTGTGGCACGGGCTCAGTAGTTGTGGCTCTTGGGCTCTAGAGCGCAGGCTCAGTAGTTGTGGTGCATGGGCTTAGTTGCTCCGCGGCATGTGGGATCTTCCTGGACCAGGAATTGAACCCATGTCCCCTGCACTGGCAGGCAGATTCTTAACCACTGTGCCACCAGGGAAGTCCCAAGTACTTTATATTGAGGTACATACATTTGTTTCTGTTTCTTCTTAGACATATGCTTAATAGATTACAGTATAATGCAAACAACTTTTATAGGCACTGGGAAATCCCCATATTTGTGTGATTTGCTTTTTCACGATATTTGTTCTATACCGGTGTTCTGGAACCAAACGTACAATATCTCTGAGGTATGCCTGTACTGGAGGCTGCTACCCAACACTTTTATGTACATCTCACTGACAAGAATTTAGTGATATAGCTGTGGTTAGCTGCAGGAAATCTGGGAAATGAATTTTGGGGTGGAGGCAGCCAGGTATCCAGCTGAGAGTCAAGGGTTCTCTTAATAGGAGAAGGGGAGGATGGATATTGGGGAAGTTGTGGGAGTCCCTGCCACAGACCGGCAGGAAGAAACCACAGCCCCCACTCCAACACACACACACACACACACACACACACATGCACGCACGCACGCACGCACGATTAGATTAAGTTCTTATTCTAATAGGCCAGAGCTACAAAAACATGGCGCTGCCCGTGGGCAACATTCCCCGCACAGGTGGAGCCCTGCCTGCCTGATGACACGCTGTTCTTCCTGCCCTTTTGTATCTCCCTCCTGGAAGGGCATGCTCTGCTGATCCGTGGGCTTCCATTCAAGGGAATGTTTGCAGACATCTTGGTTCTCAAACCAGGCTCTTCCCAGCCAGGGGATATCATGGTCAGGGGAGAGATCTCTGCCCCCAGCTTGGCGGCTTGCCCACTGTACTTGGCGAGTAGGGGCGGCTGGTGGAGGTGGCGTTGACGGATGAGAAGGCCGGCTCCCAGCTCCTTATGGTGACAGCTGGCCAGTTCCCCAAATGAATATGTCTGGATGCCTGGTGGTGCTGCCGTCCTGAAGGCTTGGCTCTAGGAGACGAGATCTCAGGTTCTTTGCAGGGGAGGGGGTGTTTTGAGACAGGGGGCCCCGGGGGAGCCCTGAGCACCCTGTGGGGCTCCGAGTGCTGAGTCCCTCCTGAGTGTCTCCTCCCGCAGGCTCCCAGGGTGAGGCGGCAGAGTGACACCTGGAGCTCCTGGGGCAGCTGGAGCCCTTGCAGCCGGACCTGTGGAGGGGGTGTCAGCTTCCGGGAGCGGCCCTGCTACTCCCAGAGGTAGGAAGGCAGGAATGGGCCAGCTTGTAAAAAGAGGGCAGGCGTGAGGGAGCAGCTGGGTCTTGGGCTAGGTGTCCCGGGCCAGTGCCAGGCCACAGAGGCAGGACCTACGACGTAATGGATTTGTGCTGGGAGCAGCGTTAGTGGAGAATTTGAAATTGAGTCATTTCCACGTACTTACACTCGGACTGCAACAACAATCTTATTTCAGGGGGCTGGAGCCATTCTTGCTTCATCCACCCCGAGTCTCTAGATCCTCGTGCTGTGCCTGGCAGGTGCAGTGAATTCTTGTTGAATTAATGAATAACCTTCAACAGTTTAACCTGTGTGGTTTCTCTACTGTCAGCTTCTTTGTCAAGTATAGATGTTTTTCACTCTAAGTGACTTAGCACCTGCTCTGTGCTCTGCACTCTGATAGGTACTATAGGGTGCAAAAGAAGGGGTGATGACACCCTGCCTGTCAGTGGGTTTAACTGTTCCTGAAAACTTTGCGTGAAGAGGGAGATAAGATATTATTATAAGTGCCTTATCCTCATTTACTCCTTAAATGGCAGAATAACCTTACCAAGTGGGTAGGTATTACATCTTATTGTGTCTCCAAGGGCAGAATTTGAGGCTTCTCTGGGAATTTGCTTTAAGAGGCAGAGTGGCCCCAAGTTAGACAAACTCTGGGGAAGTTAGACTTCTGGGTCTGGCTTCTCCCAGGTATAATCAGAGGGCTGATTAAACCTACCTGAAGGGATTTATGTGTGAGGCCGCACCCCTCCTCTCCTTGCCACCCCTCGGGCCCAGTGCTGCCCACCAGGTGGCGCCACCGAAGCTGGGGTCCTGGGGGGGAGCCCCAGGAGGGGGCGGGGTGTTGGGTCATGGGTGTTCGGGTCTTCCCAGCGCTCTCGCCCTGCAGGAGAGATGGGGGCTCCAGCTGCGTGGGCCCCTCCCGGAGCCACCGCTCTTGCCGCCCCGAGGTAAGGTGAAGCCCCCGGGGGTGGGGCACAGCTTCCCGGACGCCCTGCTCGGCTGACATCCTAGCCCTGGGGGGCCCTCCTGTCGGTGCACAGCAACCCCTTCCTCACCCACCCTGAAATGATAGCTTCGCCCGGGCAGCCCAAGGCCCCTAGAGCGGGCGCACGGGAGCCCTGGGGGCCCGACTCCACCTCCCCGACGCTACAGCGGGGGTTGGGACAGGACCCCACCTCCCCGGGGCTAACCGGGCGGCAGACCCCAGTGGTGGACCCACGAGCCCCTTCCCTTGTCCCCTTCGCCCCGCAGAGCTGTCCCGATGGCGCCCGCGACTTCAGGGCGGAGCAGTGCGCCGAGTTCGACGGCCAGGAGTTCCAGGGGCGGCGGTACAAGTGGCTGCCGTACTACGGCGGTAAGTGCGCGAGTCCCTCCGACTGCTGCCCCGCCCTGCGTTGCCCTATGCTGGGCCCCATCTTTGGGGGATCTCTTTGCTACACTGACTGCATTTCGCAGTTCTCATTACCATATTATAGACACGTTGTCAAATACATTTAAAGAAAAACCTCCAGTACCCCCAGCAGGGCACAACAGTGGTGGTCGTTTTGAGGTTTTTCCATCGTTTTCCCCTCCATACATACGTTTTCAAACAAAGCCTTGGCCAAGCCTCTGACGTTTCGAGACTTCTTCTTTTTTTTTTTTTTTTTTT